ATACAAATAGCATTATTCTTGAAAAAGAGTGCTTCTGTTGAAAAAGAATGGCTGTTAAAAAATCCATTATGCTCACCCTTAGCCCCATTTCGATATGAGCATTTGTGCCCGCATGGGTAGCTCAGTTGGTCAAGAGCGTGAAATATTGGACCGATGACCAGGGATCGAATCCCGCAAGCGGCAGTGTGGGAGCTATCCAAAACTTCCATAAAGGGCGAGGAGGCTCCTTGTGCGCGGAGGGCACGGGTTTAGCGTTCTTGGCCGACTGAGTCACCATGATTTATATCCTCCACCATTCCTGTCGGACAAGGGGGTGGGGGCGCCTGGGGTGGGCGATTCCACCTTTTGGACCGATAAATAGTTTTACCCTAACTGGTATGGTGGATATCATTTTTTTATTTTTTATTAAACAAAATAAAAAAACAAATGCTTATTTAAGTAGTAAAAAATGTTTATTTTGTTCATATATAAATTCAAGGTGAAACTTAGATCTACCATAAAATTTTACATTAAAAAAATATACTTCATCCATTTAAATTACAATATTCCATTTTTGATTGTATACTCCCTCCGTTCTCTTTTAGATTACAATATTTTATTTTTGAGAAAATTAAGAAAAAGTCAAATCATTAAATTTTTTCTCCAAATTATCTTCAATTAAGGAGAAGTCAAATCATTACATAGGGACAAAAATCAGACGGAATATTGTAATCAAATTAGGGACGGATGAAATACTCCCTTCAATTTTTTAAACCATTCTTATTTTAACTTTAACCAAAATAAGAATTACTCTAAGCATATATTTGTGATTGACTTTCTAATTTGCTTTTTGATATGATGAGTCAAAGTAATACTCTCTTCGTCCCCAATTTGATTACAAATTGGGGTTTACGAGAAGAAATATCTCACTTTTTGAAATCATTTTATTTACAAATTGGTATATCAATAAGAAATAGAAATTACATATTAAAAAATTACGTCAAAAATTCTTCAAAACAAGTGGTGACGAGAATATATCAAATACTTAATGCAATCACGTAAACAAACAAAAACTATCGAGAAAGAGAGAAAAAATTGTAATCAAATTAGGGACGGAGGGAGTATGTGATAGATAGATTATTAATATAAAAAAACGATGTTATAGGTATGATAAAAAAAACTTATGGCAAAGCTAATTTTTCAATAGAAAGTAGAAGTGTTTTGGACAAAGAGAAAAAAAATGAAAGATGAAGTGTTTTAAAAAACAGAGGGAGTATTTTGAAATGAAAAAGTTACTTCTTTTGTCTCTGAAAACTCTTCATGTGTTGACCTCTTTTAGTCAAACAGTATTACTCTTTGAACAAAAATTAAGTATAATCTAAATAAATAAATAAATGCTACTTCATATGTCTCTCAGAGATCTTCTCAGACACTAATCATATGGTCAAACTGAACTCATTTTGTTTACTTATTTTTTGTACTCATTTCATAAAATAATATATTTTTGCTATTCCTAGTTTTGTAGAACTTTTCATATATATTTTACCATGCAAATTTTATTTTTAAATTTTACCCTTACAATGAAATAAATTAAAAATAAAATCGGTTAAGCCTCGTAACATATATAAAAATTTGATATATCAAAATAATATCATAAGATGACCTAACTATATTAAATTTATATTATAATTTAGAGTAAATTTCATAATTGACCCTTTATAATATGTGGTTTTCCATATTTAGTCCTCTAGTATTAATTATTACTGCCGTATTCCTTGTTTTATAGGTACTTTTTCATAAATAAATTTTTTATCTTCTGTGATGTTGGTGTTAATTTGAGGGCTAAAAGTATAATTTGAAATCAACCCTATGTCCAGTGACATATTCTGATGTCGGTTAGACGGTAAACACAACAATAATGTCTAGGAAAAAGGACTAAAGTAAGAGCTAAACATAGAAAATATAAAAAAATAGGAGTTCTATGTTTTTATTCCCGAAATAGGAGTTAAAATTTATTTACATTACCAATCATGATCATGTAAAGTACCAAAAAGTATAGTAATATGCACATGTAGAGTGCCATATTACCACAGTGCAAACTCATATTTAGAAAATACAAACATGGAACTCCTATTTTGGTACTTTCTATATGTTTTATTACTATTTAGGGTGACTTTTTTGACATCTAACTGGTGAATTGGTCAGCCTTGGCTAAGGGTGAGACTGAACACTCTCCTGATGGTGGCCAGCTTAAATAAGAAGGCGATACTCATATTTTCTAAAATTAAAGACTATATATTTTATTCTTATATACATATGACATTTTAAAGTTAATATTTAGTTGATTAAAATGATTGAAAATTAAAAAATATAGCATATTAAATTATACTCCGTAATTAATAATATTACTTAATTTTTGAAGACAACAATTTTTTAAATATAAAATATACAGAGTATATTTATTTTCAAGTAAAAATTAAATTATTCTCAATTTTTAAAACTATTTTAAAAGTTCATAAATACAAATAATTCACACTTGCACAAAAAACTACATACTAGTATTAATTTTGTATGAACCTTTTGTAAAACCATAAATACATATGATTGATACCTAGATTTTGAATAAAGATTGAGTAGCTCACTTGGTTGAAAACTTGTACTAGCATACGGGAGCTACTGGGGTTGATTCCCAGCCACCACTTTCAATTTTTATGTCTAAAAATTTAATAAAATGTAGATTTAAGCCCAAACCCGGGAGCCGGGTTTCTTCAGTGAACCGGACCGGATTTGTTGCCGGTTCCCGGGTCGACCGGTTGGACAACAAGCCAACGTAGTTATCGTAATAATATAGATCAAATCTTTGTTATACTGCATCCAAGAACTCGGCCCAAGTGGCAGCACAATTGTTGGCTTGATAATACCGGAACTATGAGAATCGCAGGTGATCGATCAACACAGCAACTAATAACAAATGTTTTGAGTCTGGTGTTAAAAAATTGCTGCTTGATTGCTTGGAAACCGCCGGTTTTGTGACCCAAAGTTTGGTGACCTGCAATTCTCTTTCGATGTCCTCGATAGCACGCATGACATCTTCAAGTGTCAAGGCAGGAGGGTTTTTATCATTCGATGAAGTGGGAGTAGACATTAGATCAAGAATGAAAGCACCAGCTAATACTCAAAATATCGTATGGTTTCACAGACGAGGAAGAAGACCGTGAGCTCCAAGATTTTTCGGTTGGCAAAAGTGGGAAACAAGAGAGAGAGAGAGAGAGAGAGAGTGAGTGAATTTTTTTAGTGTTTTAAAAGAAGTATGGTAAGGAGAAAAAGGTATACTATTATGCTTGTTGATAAAGGTTACAAAACTCTCTTTTTTATAGATGTAGTTTCCCAGTCTTGCTAGAACTAATTATGTTACGTAGTAGTGTTTCTGGGCTGAAAAACTATTGTATTCTCTCTTGGTTATTTACAATACAATGGGGAGTATATATATACAGCAAGGTATTCCTAATAGGATTAGGAATGCTAAATAAAAGGAAGCTACCATATACAAGTCTAATACAAAGCAAAGACTAATATTCTAATATTCCTTTTCCTTCTCTAACACCCCCTCTCAAGTTGGAGCATGTAGCAACGAAATGCCCAACTTGGGAATCAAGAATTCAAGCCGTGCTTTGCCCAGTGCCTTTGTATGCATATCAGCTAGCTGATGTGTAGTGGAAACATGATCTGTCTTGATGACTCCTCGCAGTAGTTCGTCTCGAACAAAATGGCAATCGACTTCGATGTGCTTCGTACGTTCATGGAAAACAGGATTGGCTGCGATATGTAATGCGGCAGTACTGTCACACTTTATGGTCATAGGCTTCGAATGTTCAATCCCAAGAGAACTAAGTAGACTCTTGAGCCACTTTAACTCACAAGTGACCGCGGCTAGAGCTCTGTACTCAGCTTCTGCAGACGATCGGGCCACGGTCGTTTGTTTCTTTGTTTTCCAGGAGACAGGAGATTTGCCAAGTTGGACAAACCAACCAGTGAGGGATCTCCTTGTCAAAGGACAGGCGGCCCAGTCTGAATCACACCATCCCGTTAGCTGCAAGGTATTGCTGGCTGGTAAGAAGATCCCTTGACCGGGTTGCCCCTTCAAGTATCGAACCACACCCATTGTAGCCTTCCAGTGATCTTCACGACGCTCTTGCAGAAACTGGGTCAGTGTATGAACCGCATAGGACAGCTCCGGTCGAGTGACCGACAAATAAACAAGGCGACCAACGAGGCGTCTATATTTCTCAGGGTCAGAAAGTAGTGGCGTGGTAGTAAGCGCCAAGCGATGGTTTGGCTCAAGTGGGGTTCCTAGAGGGCGTGCCCCAAGTAAGCCAACTTCAGAGATAATATCCAATGCATACTTTCTTTGACACAAGAAAATGCCTGCCGGAGTGCGCGCGACTTCGATGCCCAAGAAATATTTAAGGCGCCCCAAATCCTTCATGTGAAAACATTGGGACAAATAGGACTTAAACTTTTCAACTTGATGAGAGTCACTACCGGCGATCACAAGGTCATCCACATAGACAAGAACATGTAGGACACCCTCCCTATGTCGTAGCGTAAAAAGAGAATAATCGGAGATAGACTGAACAAAACCATAGTTCTTTAAGGCATGAGAGAGTTTGGCAAACCAACATCTGGGGGCTTGCCTTAATCCATATAAAGATTTCTGAAGTTTGCAAACAAGACCTGGACGAGGAGGAGTGAATCCGGGAGGCAGGCGCATAAAGACTTCATCACTAAGATCACCATGAAGAAACGCATTGTGAACATCCATCTGATGAAGCTCCCATGATTTAGCNCGTCGGCCTTGCGTTTGATTTTGTATACCCATTTGCTCCCCAAAGGCTTTTTGTGAGGAGGGGCACTGACTAGAGTCCAAGTCCCGTTACTCTGCAACGCATCAATTTCCGCCCGCATTGCCTTGCGCCACGCTTCGGATCGCATTGCTTCACGAAAATTTCTGGGCTCGACCTCGGAGTCGATGGCTGTGAGATAGCACTTGTGTGAAGGAGTAAATTTGTCATAATTGATGAATGCACTGAGCGGATACTTGCTGAGCGTTTGGAAGGTAGTATATGTGACATAATCCTTCAGACGGGTGTTCGGTATGCGTGCTCGTTGCCCACGACCAACTATAGGATCCGGTGTGGGTGCTGCCTCGTTGGCAGTGGTTGGTGCCTCGTCGGGTAGATGGTCCGTCAGTGCAGTACTGGTGCTGCCTCCAGTGCTGGCAGCGCTGGACGACGTCATGTCGCCCGCTGCTACGGGTGCGGTGTCTTCGGTTGCTGGAAGGGGCTCCGACGCTGGGTTGTCGGTGGCGGCGTCAAAGACCGTAGGTGCTGCAGCACCAGGTCGTCTTGGGGGCCGTGTGATCAGATCCTCCTCCATTGGTAATGGGCCGTCCGACACTGGAATTGGTTGATCGGTCTCTTTATCTGAAAGGGTTAGATATGGAAAAATATTTTCCAAAAAAATAACATCACGGGAAACAATTATTTTCCCCGTGTCGGGGCAATAAATTCTCCATCCCTTCTTGCCATGTGGATATCCGACAAAGATACCCGGTGTGCTTCGTGGAGCGAACTTATCACTCTCTCGTCTTCGAACATAGCATCTGCATCCAAACACACGAATGTGAGATAGGTGAGGTGGGTTCCCATGCAATTTGGAGTATGGTGAAACCCCCCCTAGGAGAGAGGACGGTGTTCGATTAATTAGGTAGGCGGCGGTTTGGATGCAATTGCCCCAAAATTCAAATGGCAGTCCAGATTGAAATCTCAGGGCGCGAGCGACATTGAGAATGTGGCGATGCTTCTGCTCAACTCGCCCATTCTGTTGTGGAGTGTCGACACATGAGGTTTCATGAAGGATTCCTTGTTCCCTGAAGAAAGCATTCAAACACTCAAACTCGGTCCCATTATCACTTCGTACACATTTAATCTGTGTCCCATACTGTCTTGCAACCATGGCACAAAATTCATGAAAAATCGTTGGCACTGCACTCTTTGTTTTGGTCAAGTATACCCAAACACCACGGGAAAAATCATCAACGATGGTCAAAAACATTGTGGATCCATTCAGACTATGTGTGTGATAAGGCCCCCATAAATCAACATGTATCATATCAAAAATTGCAGTAGATTGATGATAACTTATAGGAAAACTGGTACGTGAGTGTTTGGCACGTATACAGATATCACAACAATTATTCTGTAAACTACTATCTTTAATGGAACCCACTACAGGAACTAAAGATAAGACTTGAGGTGAAGGATGTCCGAGACGCTTGTGCCATAGATCAAAGTTGTTCTCCCGTTTTGCATTCAACGCCACTTTGTCCTCCATCGGTCTGAAATAGTAAAGTCCACCATCCTGTTCACCCACACCAATCAAAGTCTTCAACTTTCGGTCCTGTATCATGCAAGCATTAGTAGAGAATCGAGCCTCACAATCAGATTCTTTTGTCAACTGGGAAACCGAGATCAAGTTACAGCTCAGATTTGGAACAAGCAAAACATTCTTCAATGTCAATGTGTCTGTTAACTTAATTTTCCCGGATTGAACTGATATAATTTTCTTTCCGTCTGGCAACCCAATTTCACAAGATGGCATATCCATTATATCATAAAGCAACATAACATCACCAGTCATATGATTCGATGCACCAGTATCAAGGATCCAACGGGGGGCAATACCTGTTAATTTTTCAGGAGCAACAGATGGAGTGGTTGACACAGATAGGGCTTGACGAATTGTATCCCACTGAGAAGGTGTGAGATTTTCAAAATCTGGAAGGCTGGTCAATCCTCCGTCGCCAGTGGTTACGGCGTGAGCTGCTGCCGCCTGTCCGCTGCCCTTGCCGTCTGTTCCTCTTCCGCCGCGGCCTCCACGATTTCCCCCACGCCCGGAGCCACGTCCACGGTTGCTGCCACGCCCGCGGTCATTCCCTGGCGGCCACCACTCGGGGAATCCGTGTAGTTTGAAGCATGAGTCTACTTGGTGTCCTTTCTTCTTACAATGGCCGCAGATTTGATCAGCTTCGTCGCCCTTTTTCACA